TGACAAAAATAACTGAGCTCTATTTAGTATTTTGTGGATAGAAACAGTGTTTGAACACGTCCTTATAAACACTAACAACTACTATGTGTACAGTGGACTAAAAGTGAAATGAATAATACAAAAATACTATTAAAGTAAAAGTAAGCAAGTTTTATTCATTGTTGAGTTAAGCAGCTAGTGGCTGCTTCTTGAATTACGAACTTTCCCACTGTATGACAGAGAATTTCCACGGGAGGGGTATTCCAGTTTAAATTTACGACTTGTACGTAGGAAACACCCACTTCCCAGTACAACTAGACCGTAGCAAAAGTCGTTGTCAAAAATGCAGCAAAATGAAGATACAGTGAATTGCGCTGGCTACCATCTACCGGATACTTTTGAACCCTGTGCATCTCCACCTAGTGGTGGGATTCCATCATTTTGGAGTTAAATTAATGCATCATAGGATATGCAATTTATGGTCTATCCTGGCTTTAAAGCAGTTTTTTTAGACATACTGGACTGTACCTGAATTTCTCTGGTGGGCTCATTGACCAACCCATTCTCACTCCCAAGTCATCACATTTTGACGCTTTCCCAAGGTTCCCTCTGCGTCCGATTTTGAAATGTCGGGTAACCCCGTCACGTCAGTTATTGACGAGATGGGGCAGAAACTGTTGTGATATTTTCAGAAAGTGTAGAAAATGCACAAAAAATACTGTTCCAAAGCCTGAAATTACCTTTATTCACTTTAGACATCCTGTCCCTGACCCTAGTACCTAAAATTAACCATTAACCCTGATACCTAAAATTAACCATTAACTCTAATACCTAAAATTAACCATTAACCCTGATACCTAAAATTAACCATTTTTAGAAAGTGTAGGAAATCCACGTCAACTACGTGTTCCAAAGCCTAAAATTATCTAATATTCACCATAGACATCCTATCCCTGACCCCAGTATCTAAACTTAACCATCAATCCTGATCCCTCATATTAACCTCAGACCCCCGACCCAAAGACCCCTGGTGGCGCAACCTAGAAAAGCCACTGGCGGCAAAGACTGACACGAGGGGATCAGCCGACTCGTCAAAACAAGACGCAGAGGGAACCTTGGACAAGTGTCAATATGTTGATGAGTCGGGAGTGAGAATGTGTTACATTGACATGCCCAGTGGAAGTCACCCAAAGGCCAAATGCATGGAGTTTGACACAGTTCTTTTGAGTTTGTCTTGTTCTAGGTAGTGGAATTTGTAACTCAGCTGTTTTAGGGCATTTTCTCTCTGATTCTCCAAATTCATGAGGTTGTTCTGATGGCTGTCTGCTGCAGTTAACATACAATAATCAAGCTGATTCATAAAACATCTCTAGTTTTTATAATAAGGCTTTTAACATGGAGCCCAATGTTTCTTGTGGTCTTTGACCAAAATGTTTTCTTCAGCTTTTTTGTTTTGTGTTAACATGATTTGTTTGAACCTTGATTATTTCCACACAGCACTCTGTAGCAAAGCCACCAGGCAGTTTATGGCTATCTTTTAAGGCCCTCTCCCATACAGTTCTGCTGGATGGTTTCAGTTTTTCTCCATGCTGGAARCATCTGGACCATTGGCTTGATGCTGAGTGCTATTTTGATGGTTGAGTTAAATCTTGGGTCAGACATCCGATTTTGCAGTTGTTTGTAGGGGGATACATTATAACATTTGCCACTTGTGATGTGTTCAAATTTTGATGAGTCTTGGTCATTAGGTCTATTATAGGTCTATAGGTCTCTACTGGCCTGTGATGGACTTGCGACCTGTCCAGGGTGTACCCCGCCCCTCGCACTGTGACTGCTGGATATGGGCAACAGTAACCCACGCAACCCTGAAAAGGAAGAAGTGTGTACAGAAAATGAATGGATGGATGGATGGATGGATGGAGGTCTCTATTGGATAAACACAATTTGGACTATAGATACTTTTCTTTTACCACAAGCTAAGTGTTGTCTGAACATTCTCCAGTTGTATGTTTTCCAGTTGTGTAGCTATTAAAAATAGTCATGATTTTTAATTCTTCACCAGTTTATCAGTAAATGTGCAAAGAAAAAAAAAAATCAAGTGATCTTCTTTCATGCCCCTGTTTTTGTGGTGTTTTTGGGTAGAATTTTAAAACCTAAAAAAAAAAAAACTGTTCCACTTTCTCAACCTTACACCTCCTGAATATGTTGGTGTTGCGTTCCTCGTATTTGRAGTTAGCAATTCTAATCCTAATACAAGGCCAGACCTTCAATGCTAAAATAACCAAGAGGAGCATGTGCTTATCAGAGTACTTGACCAAAACCCTTAACAAGACAAAATGCATTTGCACTTACTGGAATAACTGACCTCTTGTTCCTCTGTTTGATTTTATGCTGATTTGTGGTCTGCCTGATTCAGCTTGTAAGTCTTATGGGTCTAKACACCATCTGTGATGGCAGATGATAGCAGAGTTTTTCCCTGGGAAAAAGCGCTGAGATGCATAAAATGTCACTCCTGGTTGTGTTCAGCACTTCTAATCCATCCATTTAGCTGCTCAGGTAGTGAACTTTTGTGGGGCATACCGCTGGTTCTGAAGTCTCACAAGAGCTAGTAGACAAAAAAAATCTCAGTACAAATACTCTTTGCCATCCCCTCGGAGGGTTCAGTGGGGTGGAAGGAGAAAAGTGAAGCCATCAGGCTTTTGATAAAATGTTTGCAGTCAAGTGTTCCTTAAACATAAGGAAGAGGGAACAGAGGTGTGGTGTCAATGATCTTCTACTGATGAGATTCTTAGTGAGTGACGGCAAAATGCATATTTAACTAACAACACAGATTTTAGCYTCAGTGTAAACAAAGAAAAAGAGATCACAAATTCACAGGGCTGCCAGGCACCGTGCCATCTGGAAGACAGGCAGGCAGGAGGCCAACTGAAAGACATTAAGTCATGAGTGTCATCAYCCATAACAATCATGTCACTATCAAAGCATTCCTATTCATGTTAGAAGTGGCTGTAATAGCAGAGGGACAACCTCAGCTAAACACAACATAATGGACTCCATTATGTTTTTTTTACTTCCTAAATGGACAGTTTAGAAACATAACTTTGAAGCATAACACATTTACTAATGATGTTAAAGCACATAACATACAACCTATATGTCTTAAGCTATGCTAATTTATAAAACTAGTTTGATTTACTGTCAATTTTGAAATATAAATGCATTTGCACTTTCAAGTGACAGATTATATGCTCATTTTCATGTCTTTGAAATAATTTTAATCGGAGCACACACATTTAATGAAAGAAAAGCAAATTAAATTGATAAATTAAGTCAGAAATGATAAATAGTTACTGTTAATGGTTTGTTTTGGGAGAAGAAGAGCTTTATTTTCCTTTATGGACATGACATAGCCTCCCCGTTTATGCAACATTGGCAGGAGTTTCTAACCCCCACCCCCTCTGTAAATGTAAAGGAGGACACATCGATACTMGAGCAATTAGTACATCAATAACCAGCACTTTCAATTTTAATGRATTCAAAAGGAATTAGATTTCTCATTGGATTTCTTTGTATTTGTGCATTCCTGTCTAACACGGATGCTGTACTCCTCCATAGAACATTGCTTTATGTAAATYGAGCACTTATTTCATTGCTTGTAAATATGTTTATTTCCATCAGACACAAGCTAAGGCTGCTTTGATTTTGCTTGTTCTCTTTTGAATCTCTCATCTCGGGGCGAACATCAAGTGGAGAATTTAATAAAAATCTCTGTTTTAATTCAAATGGTTAAGTGCACAGGACAGAGCTCATCATGTGGCTTTTCATCGACAAATGGARATGTTTATATTCTTTAATGAGTAGTTAAAGATTTAGCTTTTATTTGTTTTAATGATTCAAAAATAATCCAGTTATTTTGTTAGGAGAGTGGCTAAGAAACAGTATTGACTATAGATTGGTCRAGTCAGTCTAATCCCTGAGACATAAGAGTCAGTATTGATCAGTATYTACAAACAGTGCATCACTAAAACAAACATACTGTAGTATGCACTCAGCAGTACTGATAGTGTGAAAATGAAAAAGGCATATCTAGCTCAATCCCAGGTGCGACGTACATGCAAATGGTTGGAAATGTTTCCACCATTAAGTTTTTTAAAGCACTGGACAGTGATGCTTAACCTTGTTTTTTTTTCCCTTTGTTTCAATTACCAAAAGCACTCACACAGGCACAAATGCCCACAGATGTATGCACACACACACATGCACACAGCGCTGCATTGCATCCCCTCTCAATGTCTAATAACATAATACAGAAATAATGAGTCTCTTTGGTTCTGAGATCCCGTATTACATTTTTATTTGATTATTCAGCTGAAACAATCCTTGCTGGCCTTCCGGTTTGTTTTATGTGAGCTCACGAGATATAATTTTACATTTGACATTAATTTCTGCATAAAATTCATAAAGAAACAATACTCATTGAAACTCCTGATGCTCRGGAGGAAAGAAAAGAAGCTGTGATGGGACAGGGTTGTTATTGCATTTTCTACAAAAAAAAAGATAAAAATAGTTAATAGTTTTTACTGTTGCCTCCAGGCTTTTTTTTTTTTTTTTTGGTTTTGAGAAGAAAAAAAAGTTTGCAAAAATAAATAATTTTACAACTGTACAGCACACAAACCACAA